CCCTTGGGAACTCCCCTCAACTTTCCCAGGCTCTGATGGAGCTGGAGTCTGTGAGCTGGGCTGAAAGTCCCCAAAAGCTGTGTGGTCACTATGGCCACCATGACCTGCCACCACCCTCACTCTCAGCTACCACTTCCCCCTTTCTGCTCTGGCCCGGCCTGGAACTGGGTTTCCCATCGGGTGCTAGCCAACCCAGCTCACCCACTAGAGCAGGAGGATGTGGGGGTGTCAGGATGGGCTTCCCTTTGGACAGTCCATCCTTTGGACAGGGGCTGCAGATGTCTGCATCTGTCCCCAAAGCGAGGACATGCCCGGGGAGGTGAAGGTGGAGCACAGCCTGGCCCTGTCAAAACCCACCCTCCCCACCAAGGTCACTCAGCGCCACCTAGAGCCCTCACCATGCCCATGGAGGGTCGGGGGCCAGGTGAGAATGAGGGTCCTCACAGGCCTGTGCTTGCCTGGCCACCAAGCTGAACTGGAGTGGGGATGTGGGCCACCCCAACTCCCCACCTCCGGGCCCCCAGCCCAGCCTCACCCAGGTGTGGAGCGAGGAGCTCCAGCTCCATCTGTCCTCACAGCAGCTGCCCCTCCCTGCATGCACGTGCCAGGTCTCCTTACAGGTTGGGGAGGGTGTGATACCGGGGCGGGGGCTCTGTTTCGGCCCCCTGTGCCTTTCACACAGCTGCAGTCCCCACCACCCAGCGGGGGGAACATTCTGTGCCTCCTCCGGGGCTCCCTGGGTGCCCTCTCTATGCTGGGCCTGAGCTGGTGAGGATGGTGTGGACAGTGACAACCTGTTGTGGTCAGTGTTCAGAGGGCCCGTGCTAGCCCCGTGGAGGGACACAGGACCCCCTAGGATTCAGGGAAGACTGCCCGGAAGAGGGGACACTGGAGCTAAACGTTATTTCGTTTTCGGATTGTTCCTTGCTACTGTATAGAAATATGCTGAGTCTTGGGTGTTGGTCCTGAATCCCGCCCCCTCGCTGAGCGGTTTGTCAGTTCCAGTAATTTTCAGTGGGCTCCTTGGCATGTTCTGTATCCATGGGCATCTAACCGGTGAGGCCGAACTTCTTCCTTTCCAGTCTGGATATTTTCAATTTTTCTTGCTCAACTGACCTGGCTGGGACCTCGGGTCCCACGCTGAACAGCAGCAGCAGGCGAGCAGCCATCCCCACCTTGTCCCTGGTCTTAGGGCGAAGCTTTTAGTCTTTCGCCAGGAGCGTGGGGTGCGCTCTGGGGGCTCCCTGGCTGCCCCTGGCCAGGTTGAGGACTTTTGGCCCCATTCCTTGTGGTTGTCCAGCGGTGTTATCAGGAAGAACTGCCGGGTTTTGTCAAATGCTTTTCTTCCTGGGGCGATCAGCGGGTTCGCCCTTGATGGGGTGGCTGGGATGTGCCCCCGCACTGAGTGGTGAACATCGATCCGGCCTCCATCCCCGGGGTGAACGCGCCCCGCACGGTGCGGACCGCTCGCTGGGGCGGGGAGGGCTTGGCTGGCCCCGGGCTGGGCCAGCTGGTCAGCAGCGCGCTCTCCTCCGCCTGGGTTTGGTGTCGGGGAGACGCTGGCCCCGGAGGCCCCTCCCTTCCGTTTGTGCAAGACCCGCGGAGGGCAGGTGCGGGCGCCGATCTGAGCCAACTCTGAGGCTCTGGTGCTGTTGCAACTACAGGCGGCGGACCCGGGACGCAGGCCCCGCGGAGGGTGCGGGGGCACTTGGGGAGCAGGAGCCATGGGTCTGGCTGGAGCGGGGGTACAAGAGGCACGGGGGGCGGGGGCCGTCA